ACGCATTAAATATGCACGGGGAATATGCAGCGAAGATGGCGAACGGCGAACGGGTGCATTGAGCCGGGAGATTGCAGCCCCCACTCTCCGCCCCCCGCGACACCCCCACCAGAACCCCCCCACTCCAACCCCCGGCCCGCACCATTATTTATAATTCACGCCGTCTTAGCTCGCGCGCGTTCTCGCAGCTTCTGTCCTGGTATCGCTTCGAGTGCTCCCAATGCAGCTCATGCTGGTTTCAAAAAAGAAGCGCGTATATGCAATATGAAATCATGGGTAAATACGTGGTTTTTGCCCTGTGAGTGCTCCCAATGCAGCTCATGCTGGTTTCAAACGAGAAACACGTAAATGCAATTTGAAATCATGGGTGGATACGCTGTTTTTGCCTTGTGAGGTGGAGCTACGGACCGAGGTTGAAGTTAAATCTTGAAAACAATCACGGAAGGAATTAAATTACTGATTTAGCAATTAAATTGCTAAAAAAAAGTGGCTGCGATGTTTCAACGTAAATTTTACAACGAAAAAATGTTACTCTAACCACTCTTGTAAGCTAATAGAGAGTTTGAAGGTGTCTGAAATTTGATGTATTTTGTGCTTAAGTGGAAATTACTGAGTAATTTGAACACGAGGATACCCTTGGTTCATAATTGAACAATTATTGGAGGAGATCCGATAGAATGATCTAATCTGCTGAAATACAAGTGTTTAAATGGGAGATGCCGCCAGATGACGTCACTAGGCGGTGCATTTTCTCACTTTTCAACCTATTTTTACACTATTTCCCAGATCAGAAAAAAAATTATAAAAAATACTGTGAAATCAGCTCTTTAAGCGCTTTCAGATGATGCAATAAAAATTTGCATGCAAAGTCTCCATTTAACCACGGGGGTGGTTAAAGTAGCATTTTTTTTGTTGTAAAATCTATGAAACATTGCAGTCACTTTTTTTAGCAATTTAATTGTTAAATCAGCAATTTGATTTTTTCCGTGAATCAGCATAATTACATTTGGACCAAGTTTTTATCGGTAACACACCAAACTTATTTTGGATCATTGGACCATATTGTTCGATAAGAGACTACAATTTCTGGCTCATTTTAGAAACAACGGATGTGTCATTCGTTACCTTCTGCAGATAGGTGCTTTTATGGATGAACTGTGAGTTGTAGTTCCCGTTTAAAATATGTAGGCCAAAAATGGGTTGGGTGTAGTTTTACGCGTAGAAGGGCGTGCATTTTCTCTTATCAAAAATTCAGAGTTGAGTTTTAAAATAGTCGTTAAATTTTGTCCTGAGCAATAAAGGATTATTTTTCTGCTCAGTGAAAACCATTTTTAGTGATGTGGACAAAATTAATGGAAGATTCAGAAAAAAACCTCGTTCCATCATGTACCAGAGAGTAAATAATGGACCATACCATGAGAGCTTCACTCATATCGGTCAAGAAAATCGGAACAAGGAATTCTCCGCAAGAGGAATCAAATATCTGTATTTGGTGAAAGCAGCAAAGTCAGTCAGTAGTATTTTGTAAAATCTGCAACAAGCCTCATTTTAGATTCAATCAAAAGTCAATAAAAAGCGTCTTTCATAAATAAAGCGCTGGGTGTGTGAAGAGGACATTTCTTGGTTGCGTTGTCTCTACATCTCCGCCGACGTTTCATTTATAATAATTAAATCTAATGTAAGTGATTCGTTGTAACTTTTACTGAATATTCTTCATGATTTTACAATGCTGGAGACGTGAAATTTTAGAAAATCCACCCAAAAACGTCTCGAAAAGTTAGTACTGGAAATTCGGAAGCACCGCAACCGAGAAATGTCCTCTCTATACCCATCACCTCAAATATTAATAACCTTTATCCGACTGTTCTTTTGAAATCTTACAACACTGGAGAAATATTTTAAGTCGAAACTCAAACCAACTTGATTATGATTTATGCAATGAAAGCTCTTCTGGCAAATATATTATTCCGAAGAACTTTCATCGCAATGGTTTAATAATGTTGCATTACTTACGTATTTTAAATTACTTTTCAACCCTTTCACCCCCTTCCGCTTCATCCAGCAAATGATTCAACCCTTTGATCATTGTTTCCTTTACTGTTATTTTGGACCTCGTTTCCTGTTAGAAGAAATCGACACGTTTCTCAGAAGCTGGCAAAATAACCTTTGAAGTTATTTTTAGTTTGAAATTAAAAATCAATGAGTATAAGAAAAAGGAACAATTTATTTGTAGAAACAGGTCATCAAGGCCTTAAGCTCTTTGATTACTCAATACTCGTTACTTGTCCTAGTTGCATGTCCTTGTTATTCTTAGGAATCTATTGGACAAATCCCCATGATAATTTAGCAAGTAGCAAGTAATACATTCTAGAGTAGGTCTATGCACTATGTCTTTGAAGTTTTGCATTTCATTTTCTTAAAAGTTTCATACGTCATTAAAATAATAGAATCTTAAGAGTTTCTCAATAGTATCTTTTAATTTATTCGGTGAAAAAGCATTGAAATGCTTTTGCACGATTCCACTCACAGGATAACCCAAAAACATTTTTTTAAAATTTTATTAAAAGTGTACCTTATTTGATTCGATGTTAAAGACCTCCTGAAACTTGTTGTAATCGCAATTTTAAACTCCAAACAAAGTATACATCCCTAAGCTAAGGAGGTATTCAGGAGCTAGATATGATTACGGTCATTTGAATGATACTTTAAAAAGCAAATTTTTCAGAAAAGTCTAATAATTCACATCAGTTAACCAATTGGAGATGAAACATTCAATTAAAAAAAAAAAAAAAAATTATTCATCTTTGATTTATAGTGTTAAATATCGTCGCTCCTCTGACGTAAGGGCGTATCCCAATTTTACGTGAGCCCTGATTTACGTATAAACCCATGCTTTATGGGGATCATGCGGAAATTGAGATACGCCCTTACGTTAGAGGGGCGACGTTATAAGACGTTTAAAATCAGGTTACCATTAAATTGACGCATTTTTTTCTGAAATGAATATGTTATGCAATACTACCTAGACCCTTTTCTCAGATGAGCAATAGCATACTGATGAAAAAAAAAATCCTCAGGCAAGAGATGTACCGTTTGTATAAAATATAATCGATCATTTTGGTCATGCCTGGGATTGGGACCATCCGATTTTTGGGAATATGTTTAATCTGATTTTTTAGACGTTGTGGTTTCGAGAGTCCCCGAGGCGACTAGGAGGATAAGGTCCCTCGTTGTTATCCAGTAGTTGAGGCCGTCTGAGTAGGTGTACCTAATCTCTCCCTCGTAACTCCCCCAAAGTTTTATTGCCTGGAATTAACTGTTATTAGAGGTTGAACCCATGCATTACGTTTGGCCGGAGAGTATACTTTTGGAAGTGAGCGATTCAATCAACACGCGTTCGTCCTTCTCATATTCACATCGTCTGTTCAGGTCTGTTCGAGACTAGATGGGTAGTATGATCAAATCAGATATTGCTCTTTCGGACATATCATTAAATTGTTTTCAAATACAGTATTGTTCCACACTGAAAAAAAATTCTCGGCGTTTTTACCAAGGTCCGTTTGTACCTTTGCCATCTCACTTTTTTTTACCAATTATCGGTAATTTTACCGAGACAGACTGGTAAGCTTACCTGAAAACCGGTATTTTTACTGTTTTTCAGGTAAGAATACCACTTTTATTGGGAATAAATTTCGGTAACTTTGCCATTTTATCTCGGTAATTCTACCACAGTCGATAATAAATATTGGCGTTTTTACCGGGGTCCAGTAAAATTACCGAGAAAGTCAATAATTTTACCAAGATCTCTCGGTAAAATTACCAATTCCATAAATGGTAATTTTACCAAGAAAAAACTGGGATCAAATAGAACCCTGAATTCTTGGTAATTTTACCCTTTTCTTAGTAAATACACCGAGATTTTTTTTCAGTGCACGGTTTTTTTGGAGTGTCTTTCTTTTCTCTCTTTTCTTTTTTCTTCTAACGACCCAGTTTCAAAGACGGAAAATTCAGGGTATAAATGGACCGATGAACAGAAACGCACCCATCCTGCCGTGCTAAGGAAAAACGTCGTATGAACCTTTAGGTGTTGCCGAATTTCTTTTGGTAAATCACAAATTTTCGGAAAAATTTGTGAACAGTGTTCTTCCAATTTTTCAGATAATTTTGTTCGCAATTTCACCTAAAGTTCCTGAAAATTTCAAGGAAAAATATTCATAGTTTTTCTCAGAAATAAACATTTTATCAAAGGAAATTCAGCAACTCTCGAATACGGCGTTTTACCTTAGCACGGAAGCACTAGCATTGAAATGAAACTGAGTAAGGAATTAATGAAGTTATGCTCTTCCACGAGACTCGATGTCAAACACGAAGTCTAACGACTGTTGTTACTTATAAAATTTTTCTCTCGACTTCAATTTTTTATAGGAGAAAATATACGACTAGTTGAATTCTAAACTACTCCTAATTATTTCCTTTCCAAAACGCTACTACGGTGCGTTTCAATCAATCTCCGTCCAAACGAAAGAAAAAAACCGGCAGTCACTTTTCCAGGAAGTCATGATGCACATGATAGGTCTAGGGACACATTCCAAAAAAAGCACGCCTCATTTAATTTAATTAAAGTTTTATTTGTTTACATAGTTAAAATTACAAGCTATGCTATCACTCAGAAATATTCACAGTTACATTGAGTTCTAATGATGCTATTTACAACAAACGACAGAATATTTTATTAGGTTTTAAAAAGAAAACAAAAGTTCAAGAGTATTAGATGTTTCGCTGAAGAGTCAATGAAATGTCTTAGTTTGGTTTGGCAAACCTTCACGGAAAAAATTAAAATGCTGGTTTAACTATTAAATAGCTAAAAAAAAAAGTGACTGCAATGTTTCAATGTAGATTTTACAACAAAAAAATGCTACTTTAACCACCCCCGTGGTTAAATTGTTAAAGTAGCATTTTTTTGTTGTAAAATCTACATTGAAACGTTGCAGTCACTTTTTTTAGCAATTGAATTGTTAAATCAGCAATTTAATTTTTTCCGTGTTGCATGGCCGATGTTCACCAAACCCAAATGTTTTCTAATATCGACTAGAAGCCTTGTATAACGACAGTAAAACTGCAAAAACATAGTGTATATCATTCGCATGACGTGTTTTAAAAATTTCAGCTCTCTTTTCATCTTACCGAAGGAGGACGAATCAGCGATATTGTCTGAAATTTTCCCGGGATATTCCATACGCAGAAAGGGAAATGGATCTGTTGTACACAAGAGATACAGGCAAGTGATAAGCCTTTTGTTGCATTACGATGAGCATTTCATAAAAGTCTGAAATCCATTTTTTACGCGCAATTTACGTAGTTTGTGACACGCAGTTTGAATTTTCTGTGCTCACGAGGAATTTTGCTTACCGCCGGCGATCAAGTTTGCCCAGAAAGAGACTAAAGAAAACTTGACCTACGGTTAGAAACCCCAATTTAGTAGACCTTTTTATCGCGTATGATCTCAATCGTCTTTAAGCATTTGTTTTTGTTAAAAATGCTCAAAAAAAACTTCAAGTTGACAAAAATCGTAAGAAAGGTTTGTAACAGTTCGCGAGATTGTTTGTTTATTTGGGCTGGGGTTTTCGCGTCCCTCTGAGCAAACGTTATTGCTGGCTATTAAAAAAGACTACTTGAAAAGTTTTGAGAAAAAGCTTGTTACAAATCACACAGCTCACACGCTGAGGAGTGAATTTTATACTTTTTTTATTTGCAAATCGTAATTTTCGTGCAATTTTACCAACAAAAAGTTTATTTACGTAGCTGTGTCTCTGCTTGCCTGCCACAAGCCCAATAGGGAGCCTTTTAAAAACATTGCGTTAAGTATTTTTCCATTTAAAATTAAATTAGGACAGGATTACAGGAAGTCTGTAGCGTCACTAAATGTATTTTCTTAGTTTTCTCGTTGATACGTGCAAACACTTCCGCATGTTCACCGAGCATTTCTCTGTGATGAATATCATTTGGACGTATTCTTGCCAAACTGAACTATGTGTATTATGACGTGAGCCCTGTTACGCATTATGGGTCTTAGGGCTCATGCCTGAATGCACATAGTTCCGTTTGGCAGGAATGCGTCCATTTATAGAGCATTGCGATGATGCATGAAATAAGCATTCCACTTCGTAACCAATTTTTGAACAAAGTGGCGGTTTTCGGGACTTGGCAACGCTTTTATTTTTCCATGTAACTCCATCATGAATTATCGATTCTAAGAATCGATTGATATCGATTATTTTACATACCTTATGAAGGGAAAAGTGTGGAAATGTGGGAAGGGTCTTTTGTTTTGCCAAATTGGGTTATTATGAGGATCCCTGGCTCTTCTCGCGCGAAAGAAGTCTGAATTTCTTTCTTGGAGGGGGTACCACATACGGACCTCTTAATTCATAACTCGCCTCTCCTATGGCGCATATCCCTTTTTTCATCAGTAAGTGACCCTGCAAAAACAAAATAAATTATTAAAAAAACCGAAGAAAAAAATTAGAGAGTGGAAATGCATGACCGCAACACGAGACAATACATGTAAAAAGTAATGTTCGATTTGTTGGAGGAGGTGCATAATCATTTGCGCCATTTTGAGGGACATGTAAAGGTAGGCCCAGTACAATTTGAGAGTATCATTCAACAGGTTTCCATGCTCTCCGATTCATAGCATCCATGGAAAAAATTGATAGGAGGTATCCCCTAAAATTGTGGTGTTACGCTAATGTTGGATGATACGGATATTTCCAATTAAGCACCGCAACATTTGGACTAGTAACCTAACTTTTTGGGGTACTGCAAAAATTAATTGGAATATTGCCGCAATTAATTTGAAATGTCCGAGTGTGGGGTTCATCTCTACCTTTTTCACTGTGTCTACAAGTTTTACAATCGGAGAAACAAAATCGTCAGACTCAATACTTCTTTTCAACTCTTAAATATCTTCTTAATGACGAATTTAAGAGGATGAATAGACCTTTTTTCGCTGGTCAACCTCCTTTCTCACCAGCCATGAGGTGAGCTTGCTTTGGTCGATCAACATTTGCTAATTTGTACTCCTTGAAGCCTGGTGTCATCACTTGATTCACACCGTATTTCATCGCTCCTCGGGTGTATCTTAACTGGATATATTTATGCTAAAAGGAACTATGCCACACGCAATCCCTATGCACATAGTTCCTTTTAGCATAAGTACGTCCAATTTCTGCGTGGTCCCTGGGCTCCGTGAAATTCTAAACTTTCTGGGGCTCATGTGGAATAGAGGGATACACCCTTGCGTCGCACATTGGACCAAGTCAATAAGAGAAGTTGGAAAAAATATGGAAACTTTAAACGCTTACACTGGAAAAAAAACACATTGGATCTAGAGTCCAGACTCTTGAAAACATTGACAAGAAAAAATGCTCTTGATTCAATCAGAGTTTTGCTTACATCAAAAGAAAATCCGCTCAAATTAAGAGACTTGGTTCTTGATTTAAGCGAAAATCCGATTGAATCAAGAGTATTCTTTCTTGTCGATGTTTTTAAGAGTCTGGACTCCAGATCCAATGTGTTTTTTTTTCCAGTGTATAACTCTGCTTACATAAAACTTCGAGGTTCTAAAGGTGTCTTAATTGGTTTCCTCGTGGAATTTTCTTCTTAAAATACCCCTTAAAATTTAAATAGTTACGGAGTATAAGTATCAAAATTCGCAGCCTTAGTAAAAAATTCCGACGAAAAGTCCGACCTCTCTAATTGACTCGATCCACTGTGCACCGGGGCCGAAAAATCTGAGAAAAGCTGTAAAATTCTATTTCAAGGATTGGAATGTTGTATACCTGTTGACCCCAAGCGCCAGGTTGACTATCTCGGAGAATCCAAGCGTCTAAAACCAGAAGACACATTATTTGGTCAATTTATGCCAATTTTGAACGATTACAAAAATGAGTCACCATGGAGATTGGCAATGGACCAATTGGCTCCTTGAAACGGTGATTCTTCGAAAAATCGCGCCTTCTGCGACCGGCGTTAAACGTATGTTAGCGCCTGTAAGACTCTAGGAATACTTCACGCATTGTATATATAGCAAATAGTATAGTCGGCGTAAAGTCCATATAAGCGCCTACAAGACTGCATGAATACTTCTCGCATTGCGCCAAATGCATCAAAGGTGAAGTGATACCACTATTCGAACTCGTAGGAGCGCCTGTGGTATACCTCGTCAACTGAAGGCGAAACATTCGTGCATAAAGCCACTAATGCTCGCTACACATGGATTGAACTGACATTAGATAGATTAACATCTGAACTGCTTCTTTTAAGTTGGACTACGAAGTGAGTATCACTTAATCACAATGGACCACTGAACAAGGTACGAATTTCAGCATTTTGATACATGTTTCTTAACCAAAATTTCACGTAAAACCCGATGCGCGCAACGAAAATTACCGAAATCAACTCCTTACGAAGATATTTAATGATTCTTGATGCGTGAATTGAAACAACCCGCTCATGAAAACTCAATGCTCTTCGTGATTCACATGGCGCGCTAAACATTATTATGATAGCCTCTGCGATGTAAAAATCTAGCACCCTCAGTCTTGACGCTTTGGCTCAGCTATAGCACATTGCTTATAGTTTGAACGAGACGATGGGAAATGAACATTGCTCGATTGAGGAGCTTGCTGAAACCGTTGTAGTGCGCGATTTGGCTTAAATTCGTACCTTGTCTAATGGTCCATTTGCAATGCAATGAACAGTTGCAAATAATTTCAATTTAATGGACCACTAGACAAGGTACGAGTTTCAGCATTCTGATGTTTCCTGACCAAAATTTCACGTAAAACACGATGCGCACAACAAAAATTACCGAAATCAACTCTTAACGAAGATATTTTGAATGATTCTTGATGCGTAAATTCAAACCACCCGCTCATGAAAATTCGATGCTCTACGTGATTCACATCCCGCGCTGAACGTTATCATGACAGTATTTGCGATTTAAAAATCTGGCAACCTCAATCTTGACGCTTTGAACAACATATGTTGGGAAATGAAGATTGCTTGATTGAGAAGCTTTCTGAAACCGCTGTAGTGCGCGATTTGACTCACGTAGAGCTTTGAGTTTCTTGTGAGTGGGCAGTTGAAATTCCTCGTAACCAATGTAAAATAAAAACGTTGATATCTTCGTGAGGAGTTAGTTTCAGTAATGTTCGTTGCGCTAATCGTGGTTTACGTGAAATTCTGGTTAAGAAACATGTATCAGATTGCTTAAATTTGTACCTTGTCTAGTGGTCCATTGCAATAAATTTCGATAAGACGTGCTCCTTCAATCTGTAGAAATGCAACACGCACAATACTCAGATGCAGTGGCAACATGGAGGGGTATCGATTAGGAGCGTTTTTGAGCCCACTTTCGCTGTATTTTCTCATCTCTACCAATTCTGCTCATTGGAGTATATTTTACGAAATGCATCATAATTTGGTCATTCTCGGTCTCTTTTCGGATGTAATATTGGCCTAGACATAGTTGTGAAGGTAGGGTGCGTCAAAAAATGAGGATTTTTTGTTATGTGACCGCAAACTTACTAAATTTACATTTTTTCCACCAAAATCTGTCCTCAGACCTACGTGTAGGCTAGTATAAAACCCGGAAACAGACAAAAAGTGACCAAATCCTGATGCCTAAAAGATATAGGTCTTTAAAGAGCAAAACATCGTAAAGTTGAGAAAATTCAAGCTGGGCTTAAAAATGGTCCTTATTGATACCTCTCCTTTACCGTGTAATTGCAGTTTATTGCAATCTTTGCTGCTTAGATGCGGTGTTTGGAGGAATGATACAGCCAATAAAAAATATTGGAAAATGCAAATTACGAGGACTTTTTTTCTTTCAACGATAAAGTAAATCGATCCTCTGACCCCTTACACCCTTGCCCTCGAATTTCTGATAAAAATTTAGAGGAGATAGAAATGAGGATGGAAATACCTGCGTAGTGGCCAACAATAACAACGCCGTGATTAACTTTATTCAAATCGTTGGGACAGTCATCTGAATCGTATACTCCTGAAACATAGTACTGCAAAAGAAAAAAGGAATGTTTCACGGCAGCCAAAAATACAGGCGGGTTGATTTGAGTACTTGGTGACAAAATTGATAAAAAAATCCACACGAACTTACCCCAATAAATATTTGCAGAGCAATAAGAATGTTGTTCCATGGCATGTTTCCGCAATACTTTAGTAAAATTGAAAACAAAATTATCTGGATGAGTGCAGGAGGCCTCGAATCTTCTCAAAATATTTGAATTTTATCAAGAAAAATCCAGCAACGCCCTTATTTCCCCTAGCACAGCTAAATGGTTGGTCAACTTTGTATATCTTAATGAGGACCGCGGCTCTCGATAAATGAGCTCAACGGCAAGAAAGAAATCCCTAAAGCAACATAAAGGCAACCTTACGTACCTAAATACATTTTCAGATTTATCATGTAAAATTGAAGGCGTTCCTTACTTGGACCTCCGGTCGCGTGTACATGAGCAACCGTACGTGCCTAAAGCCACATTTAGATGTATCATGTAAAATTGAAGGCGTTCCTTACTTGGAGCTCTAGTGCATATGTCGTAGGCAAATGATCAAATCAGGCATTTTATCAAATTCCTAGACAGATACTTACGTTTTCAGAGTTCATGAGGTTTTTTACGTTTTCTTAAAGACCTCTCTAATTTTCAATATTTTGAGACAAAAAATGCGTTAAATTACAAACTGTCATTTTATTTCCCGTCCAAAAATGCTCTTTATTATTCTTCATTCGTCCACATTGCGAAAACTTTTTATTTTACGAGATGCTGCATATTTTGAGATAATACGCATTGAAGAACTAGAAAAAACGTATTTATGATCGTATGGAACAAGTTTTTGCAGAGAATTTTTTTCCAAATGGTCAGGGAATTATTTCGTCAATAGTCAGCAAAATAATCAGAATCTCAGTTTAAATAAGAATATTTGACTATTTGCCTAGGCACTTAACAAAATGCCTGATTTGATTATTTGCCTGCGACACATACATGTACGATAAACGCGCTTGACGGCAAGTAAGGAATCCCTAAAGCCACACAAATGCAACCATACGCGCCTAAATGTATTTTCAGATGTATCATGTAAAATTGAAGGCGCTCCTTACTTGGAGCTCCGGTCGCGCGTGCATGACAGTTGGGATTGGACTGACTAGTAAATGCTCCTCGAGTCTTCTTTTATCTGCGCGAACGAAGTCGGTAATTGAGGCATGTGATCTTATGTTGCCCTTGCATGCACCTTTAGCTGCCACGTATGGGTAATCCCTGGAGGTTGGTGTTCCATATTGCTGTATGTAAGCCAAGGCGTTATGAATGTACCCACCGTCGCAGCCATCATTATTTCTATCGCAGTCAATCAAGCCTAAAAACGTTTTCAGACTGTTATGAATTTATACATAAAAATTTTACGAAGCAGACCAATAGAAAAAAAGTGTCTTATTTTGACTTAGAGTCCAGACTCTTAAATAATTTCGCAAAAAAAAAAAAAAAAAATACTTTTGATTCAATTGAAGTTTTCCTTAACCTGAAAAAACAAGGGGGGAGCGAGAAACAAGGCTAACATGCAACAATAAAAAACCCAAGACGTATCAACTCAAAACTGAGTCATTTTTAATTGGAAAATAAATTGAAAATTAAAAAATTTCGATGAAAAAAACCGGTTTTCCCGGATCTCGGCCATCAACATGTAGGTCTCGGGTGTTTCTATCGATAACTTTTAATTTTAATTTATTTTCCGACTGAGGTTAACTCATTTTTAAGTCGGAACACCTCGGGTTTTTTATTGTTGTTTTATAGCCTTGTTTCCCGTTTTTTCCCTTGTTTTTCCTCTATAAATTTATAGGGGCTCATCTCTAACTTCCTTTGTATAGTGAGTTGATCGATCCTTTTTTATGGGTTTACATGTAAACAGATCAATTGATACATCACAAAGCATGCCACCCCACAGCGGGCCGATTATTGAAACTTATAGTTAAAGCTAAAGACAAAGACGACAAAAGGGATTTGGAGGGATCCTATTGGTGGAAGCAGGTGGTGGCAATGGACATAGGAGGTAGGTAATGGACTAACTAACGGCATGCTACTAAAGACCCGACAGTTAGTCGATCATTTTCTTTCTTAGTCTATGAGAACCAACCATGTCAACCAATAGGATCGCTCCATAATCCCTATGTCTTCTTTGTCTATCGCTTTGTCCATCAGTTTCAATAATCGGCCCGCTGGTGCAGCTTGAATCATCAGCCATCGATGCTTTCTCATTTGAGGCTACGAAGAAGAATCGATCATTAGCACATCCGTCGTGAACATCCCGATAATCGATGTTTTTCCAAAGATTATTTAAAAAGCTGATCGATCATGATTTGTCGCAAAGCAAGACGCTACCGATTCCGTGATAGGGAAAACTAGTAATACCGGTAGACGGTCATATTAATCCAGAGAACGTTGAAAGGTGTTTATTTGGGTTAAACATAGACTCTTTTTGTCTGGAGAGCAAGGTGAGTTTATTTTCTGTGTGAGCCAGAAGGATCTCAAGAGCACCGACCGCTGCAAAAACCATACATGCTCCGCATTTTCTATACGAACCGTTCACGTACTTGAACTGCGAGCAGGATTTTCCAAAAACAAGGAACATAATTTAGCAGAGGAACCTCATTATCATAAAATAAAGCAGGCGTAAAAAAAAGGATGTTATATCATGTGAAAAAATAAGTCTCAACATAAATTGAACCGATCAGTCTCCAAGTCACGTAATTGCCAAAATTGCGAATGCGAGAAAAACAAGAAAAACCGTGGTTTACGCTTTGCTGACCACAAGTTCGAATTCAAAAAAATGTATGATCTTTTAGATTATATCTTTTAGATATTTTGAAATCAGACTTGATTATACCAGAGAAAAAGAAGAAAAAACAACCCCTCTACCACCGAAATAGAGATTGGCGCTTACGTGATTTGGAAAATAATCGGTTCAATTGGACTACATTTTGCAATTAGAAAATACAATTTCTGGCTCATTCTTAAAAATACTCACGTGCATAGGGAAACTAATGATACATACGATGTTTCTATACTAAGCTAGAAATTTTAGTTTCTAATTGCTAAATGCAGTCCAATTTGTCGTTTCTAAGAAAGAACGGAGCTCCGTTTTGAGAACGAAAGGATCTCTCGAAGCTAATCAATTTTTACCGAAGATTAAACAGGTATATACTGAGAAAATTATTTGCACTCCTATATTCCTCTCTGTTAGGTACTGTAGGAAGTGAAACACGAGCCATAAAATTATTTCATTCGATTTTGATCAAGTTTGCATTGAATTTAGTAGCACATACAACGTTGGAAACATCGAGAGATCCCAGAATAAACCGGAGGCTTTTTGGGGTACAAGCTCCATGTTTTCCCATTTTAACCGAACTTACGTGTCATTTTTCTCTCAGTGTGAGTGTGCACGCGTGTTTCAGCTGATCCATCAACTTTGCGGAGCACGTTTTGCGGAAGTGACAAGTGGATATGCAGAAATAGATTTACTCGCAAAACAGGGGGGACAAGTTGAAAAGCCTGTAGAGCTCGTATGTGCGTATTCCTTGTCATCTAAAGCAATATAGCATATAAAGGTGACTGTAGGGATCCTGACAGAATCAAAGCCAAATAATGACAGAGCTACAGCAGAGAAAAGAAGAAAAAATGCTCATTTTTGCGTACAATTTCTTACTGCATGAATTTCCTAATTAGGAGCACGTATATTTGGTTCCCTTGTAAAAACAAAACATTTTCGAGTGGGATATTTGCAATGTCGATATGTGGTTGAAATTTTTTGTCTGGTTAAACAAGGCTTTCTGTATCTGAAACTTTTTTTGATAATAAAATTTCTATGCTTATCAGAAATATCTTGTTTCAGCTGGTATTTAAATTCCTCATAAGTTGTCGCTCCTCTGACGTGAGGGGCGTATCTCGACGAGCCCTCGAAAGCATGGACTAATATGGATAACAGGGCTCGTCCAAAAATAGAGGTACGCCCTTACGTCAGAGGGGCGACGATGTATCTAACAGAGCGCACTGGACCGAATCAACAGGAGGAGTCGGGCAAAATCTGGAATATTTGGAAGCTTATTTTTGCAAAAATATGCGACAAAAAAGTATGAGAGTGATTTTTTTGGGTTTGTGAAATTTCTTTTCGGAAGCACTCCTTGAAATTGAATTTGTGGCGAAATAAACATCAAAATTTGAAATTTAAGCGAAAAATTTCAGTCCGACTTCTTTTATATGTATTAGCTCGTTTCACAGTGCAGAGGCAAGCATTGCAATGAATTAATTAACAATTTTAAGAAAATAAGGTTTGCTCTCAAAAATGTTCAATGGAGATGTTGCATTTGTGAGGAATTTGCGATTCGACTAAAGATTCTTTTGTAAAAGGTGGTGAGAAACACGATGGTGCCACTGATTTTCTCTGAAATCAACTCCCAAGCTCAAAAAAAGCTCTCAAGTTGAGGCCAAAATGGAAGGAACATCCCACGCTGTCCTGAAAGTTCACCTCTTCATCAAGACAAACTCTCCATGCAAAGATAGGGAGCAAATACATTAGCAATGATGACGTGTTTTCAATTTTAGAGCCCCAAAATAGAGTGGCAGCCCTGTCAATACATTTGCTTCCTATCTTTGGACGGAGAGTTCGTCTTAATGTAGAGGTGGACTCTCAGGATAGCGTGGAATATCCCCTCCATTTTGGCCTCAACTGGAGAGCTTTTTTTGAGCTTGGAAGTTGATTTCGGAGAAAACCAGTGGCACCATTGTGTTTCTCACGAACTTTTACATAAGAATCAACAGTCATATCGCAAATTCCTCACACATGCAACAACTCCTTTTTGGCAAATTTTCATCACTGAAAGTAAATTTCCGTTGTCACAACATACCTGAGACTGATATGGTGGATACAGATGGGCAGGAACGCGCCAATCCTTAATGACTGGTCCTTGTGGATCTCTCCCAAAGTAATAATTGCTTTGGTAAGGGGGTTCCGAGCCCCCGCGCTTAGGGGTCCGAAAGGGTGGTTCAGACGACATCGATCGATTCCTTTTGTATCGGCCAGAGCTCAACATTCGCGGTTGCAGTCTTGCGGAGGACTCAGTTTTGCTCATCGGGTAATGGACACCAATCGATTTCATGTACTCTTCGCCTGGGGATCAAAGTTTCTAATAGAAGTTGGGTTGAAGAGGATTCCCCTGTTGAGAGCATAGAGTACCTATAAAATTGGGGGAAAAAAATACATTGGATCTAGAGTCCAGACTCTTGAAAACAGCGACAAGAAAAATACTCTTGATTCAATCAGATTTAAGCTTAAATCAAGAGCCAAGCCTCTTAATTTGAGCGGATTTCCTTTTGATTTAAGCTTAAATCTGATCGAATCAAAGAGTCCTTTTCCTTATCAATGTTTTCGAGAGTCTGACCTCTAGATCCAATGTGTTTTTTTTCCCCCAGTGAGGCATGAAAAAATAAAGGGGGAAAAACGAGAAACAAGGCTGAAAATACATAATGAAAAACCGATAAATTTCGGCGTACGTTTATTATTTTCGACCATCATCATATGAATCTCAGGTTTCTCTAAGATTTTGTCTATATTTTGTGGTGTTTTTCTCCGGCTGATAATGCTCAATATTCTGAGCCGAAAAATCCCGGTTTTATTGTGTATTTTTAGCCTTGTTTCCGGTTCCCCCTAGTTTTTTTAATGTAACCATTGTCACAGACTACTCTGAAAAATTTTGAATCTACTTAAATAGGGATAGTACGAGCACGTCAGAAATTTTGAGGTTAGGTTATGGAGCTTTTAGGGTCCGAGAGGGACGTATGCGAATTCGAATCATCCATAATGATTTATTATTACAATAGTTATTACGATCTGTGGTCCGTAAATCACGTAGTTAACCTATTATTTGCATAAATTTACTTATTTTTTTGGAAGAACGCTCATTTTTGAACATTCTTGGCCATCTTGGTTTGGTATTGGAATCTGAAGATTGCCAATGACATTTTTTTGTGTTAGGAGGTTGGCTGGGCTGCTCCTTTGTGCCCTAACAGCTCCATCAATGGCGTGGCGTGCTTTGCGATATATCGATTGATCTGCCATTTAAACCTGTGGAAAAAGGATCGATTATCAGGATGTTCGCAACGAACAACTTAATAATCGATTCTTTATCATAGCTTCAAATGAGGAAATATCGATACATATCGAAGCACGCCACGCCACTGAGCTCCATCTGTTCGACATGTCTGTACTCTCCCTAGGTACTTTAAGTGAAGGCCTAGAGACAAAGAGATTCACTCCACTAGTCTTTGGTTGACAGGTGGAAACTTTACTAAAAAAGCTTCTTCAATGTGTTTCTAATCAAATATTGCAAGGAATAAGATGGTGCCACTGATTTTCACTCAAATGAAATCCCAGACCCTGAAAAAGCTCTGTAAATTGAAGGTAAGAGGTCTGTAAGAGGTCCCCGGTATTATGACAAGAGTTCACCCTCTATCCCTAGTCAAACTCTTTATGTACCATTTGGGAGCGAATATATTACGAGGGGCGTTCAATAAGTAAGTATCCCCCCTCTCTAAAATCCATAAGAATGGACCAATTTTAGAAAACTTGGGCTCAAACTCTTCCTTAGGATATTTTGAGTTCAACAAAACAAACCGCAACAAAATCGGATTATGTGCGGCCGAACGCGAGCCGTTTGAACGCGCCGAGGAGCTCGACGCTCCCGCCGAATCTGCGAGGATTTGAAGTCCGCTACAGGAGAAGAGCTTCTCTGCCAAAGCCTCAGTCGTTCATCACTGACGAAAAATCAAAGAAATTTTTGTAGAATAAGGGGCTTACCTCACTTCTCCACATAACCAGCTCGATCCAAGCAAGTCTGATACTGAGACTAAGACTAAGAGAACAGCTTTTGGATGCCTCGTGCGTGGAAGTCTTTTAGCTGACCGCGGATGAAAGAGTGGACGGCTTGTTTGACCTCTTCCATTGATTCAAAATTAACTCCTCCAAGTTCAGATTTCAGGAACGGGAATAAATGATGGTCTGGTTTGCCATTTATTATCGGATCTGAAATCTGAACTCGGAGGAGTTAATTTTGAATCAATGGAAGAGGTCTAACAAGCCGTCCACTCTTTCATCCGCGGTCAGCTGAAAGACTTCCACGCACAAGGCATCCAAAAGCTGTTCTCTTAGTCTTAGTCTCAGTATCAGACTTGCTTGGATCGAGCTGGTTATGTGGAGAAGTGAGGTAAGCCCCTTATTCTACAAAAATTTCTTTGATTTTTCGTCAGTGATGAACGACTGAGGCTTTGGCAGAGAAGCTCTTCTCCTGTAGCGGACTTCAAATCCTCGCAGATTCGGCGGGAGCGTCGAGCTCCTCGGCGCGTTCAAACGGCTCGCGTTCGGCCGCACATAATCCGATTTTGTTGCGGTTTGTTTTGTTGAACTCAAAATATCCTAAGGAAGAGTTTGAGCCCAAGTTTTCTAAAATTGGTCCATTCTTATGGATTTTAGAGAGGGGGGATACTTACTTATTGAACGCCCCTCGTATTAGGGTCGCCGTTATGTTGTGGGACTTTCAGGGATACAGTGAGCTTGTTTAGTAATGTTCAAGGTGATTCGATGGACGGCATATTTTGTGTCAGAACGGCATGCAATATATCGCATCCATTGGTTCCATTTTTTCAGTTACTCGTTATTTTTCTCCAATTTTGAGATCGCAGTTCTGTTGTCAGGAGACTAAAGCACTCACTTGCCAATTTTAACAAAGTCATTCAACGTAATAAAGGCGAGGTTTTTTCAGAGAGAAAATATCGCAATCATGTGCAGTTTCGATATAGTATCAATGGCGATGTTTTCTCTCTGAAAAAACCTCGCCTTTATTACGTTGGATTTCTTTGTTGAAATTGGTAAGTGAGTGCTTTAGTCTCCTGACAACAGAATTGCGATCTCAAAATTGGAGAAAAATGACGAGTAGCTGAAAAAAATGGAACCAATGGATGCTATATATTGCATGCCGTTCTGACACAAAATATGGCGTCCATCGAATCGCCTTAATGCCTGAATTTCTAAAAACTATAGAGTGCACAAGAATTTTTCCAACATTTTTTTAAGAATATTTACGTACGAAAAACGAGCTTAAAGTTGCGGATTTTGCGCTCGATTTTCGTGGGTTGATATTGTTCAAAAAAATCGGGAAAATTGCTGTGAACTCTCCGCACTCTCTAATTTTCAGAAATGCAGGCATTACATTTTACTAAACGAGCTCATTATAATTTTTTTGCCAAAAGCCACTATGTATATTCGTTCCTTATGTGCGCACTTTACTCCCACAGTCTAGGTTTTAAGAGCTTTTTTTGAACTCAGAGGTTCGTTTTGGAGGAGACCAAGTGGCGTAATATTGTGTTTTTCCTGATTTTGCACTTTGAAAAGTATGCGTAAATCCCAAATTCACGTGGCAAGTACGAGCCCGAAAAGCAAAAAAATTCCCAGAGCGTACTTAATGGCTTTTCAGTGTGCGACTGATTGTGACAGCCCTGCATTTTTTTGGTCATGTTAAGT